TGCTGGGAAAAGCAAAACTCTCCAGCAGAAAGAGAAAAAAAGAAAAAGAAAGAGAAAAGCTTACATATTGGAGGCCTAAAATCTCAGTTTTCCTGAACAGCAGACGTTCCAGCTCACTCAAATTTAACAGGTATCAATGATCAGTTATTGCTTCCTCACAGAACACATCAGGGAGGAGCRGGGTTTTAATTATTTACACAGCTTAAAAGAAACGACTGCAACCTCTGCTTTTTATAGCCCTGAGGAGCTTTTTGCCATCTCTTTGCACATCCCACGGGATTTCTCCCCAGTCTGGCACCATGGATAGCTGAGGCAAAAGCTGTTTCCCAGATGGTCCCTAATTCAGGGAATGAGGGACACAGAGGGGGATGGAGCCCTCATCACYGCTCCAGGAAGCCAGGAAATACTGTCCCTTGCAGGGAAAAGGGCATTCCATGCCTTGGTGGATTATTTCAGCCAAAGTTTTCCAGCCCAGCACCAAGCCAGACCCTCATTAAATCATTCCCTTCAACTGACAGCTCCCGTTTTGGAACTTTAACTCTGCCCAGCTCCCTTCTGGAAGGGGTTAAAACCTTTCTTGGCTTATCTCATCTGTATTTTTGAAAGAACATAAGATAAAGCAATAAAAACCACCCTTCCCTAATGCCCAGGGCTGTTTGATCCACACCACCCCAGGGCTGGCTGGATGTCCAASCCCAGCAGGTCCCAGAGCCCTGCASAGGCAGYACCTGCAGACAAAGCTTTTCTAGGCTTTCCCATCACACCAAAGCAGGATTCTCCCTGCTGATAAGGTCTCTGCTCCTTTCTATGCAGCTGAAGGGCCAATCCAGCACTAATATAATATGGAGATGCTTCCCCATCCTCAGTGGATCAAAACTGACCATCACTTTGGCCCCCAGATATCAGAGCTGCAACAATCAAGTCTCATTTCTGATCCATGRGRGTGAGATCTWTCCTCTGCTCTCYCTCCTCTTTCCCTTTCTTTCTGTTCCTCACATATGTTTTCTTAAGGGATATCTTTATAGTTTTAAACTGTTCTGTTTCTATTGGTATATAAACTGGAAAAATATTAGTCACCACTCTCTGCAGCAAAATTAGGTCAATTAATCCCTGGGATGCTTTGCCATGAATAAATGGAGTGAGAGAGAGGGTGTGAGGTGAAAAAAGGGACACCTCAGGSCACTAAAACACMAAGTTTGGATAGAATCACTSAGTTTGGAAAAGAGCTCTCAGATCTTTGAGTCCAACTGTTCATGAAGCTCTTCCTTAAAGCACAGCTCCAGAAACATGAAGGGCTGTGGGGCTGCAGGGACAGGGAAAGGTATCATGCCCTACACAAAGGTCCCTGTCCCCTCCAGTTCTGCCAAAAGCAGCCAGTTTTGGCCCTGAGTACCCAGACACATCCCCCAGGGCTACAGTGCAGCTGGAATGGGAAAAACAAGGGAAAAGTGCAGTCAGAACAATCTATGCATGCAGAGACCCTGGAGCAGTGGCACAGAGTCCAGGTTTGAGTGGCACAGCGATGCCAAGCCCTGCTGGCACTGGGAGCCAGCTGGGAATGTGCTGGGAACACAGGAACAGTGCTTCTGGCACGGGCCAGGCAGCTGCCAGCTATCCCAGTGTGGGCACAGGGACAGCCTGCTGGGTGCCATGGAGAGGTGGCACCACCTCCAACCTTGGCAAGGGCTCCAGAATGGCACAGGATTAACTCCAGGGAGAGCCCAGGAGGAGGGATCGGTGCACCTGAACCACCAACTGCAGAACCCACCCTCCCGTGTCCTCTGGGACTCATGGAGTGGCTCCATCTGGAAGCAWCCTACATTGAGAGAATCCTGATTATCTGGGCATCTCCTTTATGCCCTAAATGCCAGCAGGGCTGGGTCTGGCACTGGGACATGGGTGCTGATCTTCTGGACTCCCCAGTCCTCAGAGTCTGAGGCAAATTTGCCTCTCCTTCCCCTTTCAGGATGGAACCATAATATCCATTCGTTAATTAATTAATTCACTCATCTGAGTACATCTGAGGAGTAGAATATTATAACTCATGCTCTAGCCTGTATAATCCTATCATTAAAATTATAGCCTCCAATTAAAATTCTGGTCTCGCAGATGACAGCTCGGTGATTGCTGATTTAAGAGAGAGAACACAAAGGGTGGGCATTAAAGGGAACTGCCAATCCCAAGCTTGCAAAAAGCAGGAAGACACTTCTAAAATAAGAATAAACTCAGTAAATAGTTCAGCTCCTGCAGCCCTGGAGGACAGATGGATACATGAAGAGATCTTCCAAGCCTGTGACTTCTGCACATCCTCTCAGCCACGGCCTGAGCTCTGTGATCCGGGTAGTGCTCCAGCATGGAAACAGAAAACAGGGACCCACCCCCAGTGCCACTATTTCTGTAGGCATTTACARTCCTGGAATGGTTTGGGTTGGAAGGAGCCTCAAAGCCCATCTCATTCCAACCTTTCCAGCTGTCCAACCTGGCCTGGATCATCCTGATCCACTTGATCCACAGGATCCATCCCATGGCCTTTCCCCAGCTGGCAAAGAAAAGGAGAMGTGAGCTAAAAAATTAGGAGCAAAACCTTTCCATGGGATTTGTGTAAAGCCTCACAAGCCTGACCGACTGCCACAAACCTCCCCTTGGAAATACTTAGCCCTTGAAGGACAATTAGCTGGAGCTAATTAACTGCTGCTTGGAAAGGAATCCAGGTTAAACTTGCTGCCACAGAAACTTCTCTCCCTGAGGAGTTTTACCTCAAAAGGTAACTCTGGAACRCCAAAACTTTCTGGAAGGGCTCACAATTGCTCTGGTGTCACCCTCCAAGGAATTTTGCCACTTTTCCCTACTCCCTCCATCTTTCTGTTGGTTTTGAAGGAACCCAGCRAGCAGGAATAAAGCATTTGGCTGCTAAAGACTATATTTTTCAACAGAGAATTCCTTTTATTGGAATGTTTTTCCAGGCAGACAACACTGATCCCTCTGCTCTGTCTGAGGCAAAATGCCAAGATGTGACAAAAATGTCCCTGTCACTCCCACTCTGCACTGACAGGGCTCCAGCACAGGCCTCTGGCTTTGCAGATAGAAAAGTTAATTAAAATTAATCAAAATTCATTGGTTCTGCCTTTTAGGGGACAATTGCTCCTCAATCCAAATGCCCTTCCATTGGGATGAAACACTTGGCATTAGAAGGAAAGGATGGAGCAGATAAAAGCTTCAAAATGTGAAGATCAAACCCAGTAGCTCTCAAAATGAAGAGTTTCCCCCAAAGAGCTCCCAAACTGCAAATTCCCCCCAAGGCAAGTCATACAGCTAATCCTAAAAATGCCAAAACTATCCTCAAAATATCCTCAATCTGCATCCCCAACATTCCTTGGATAACAAATAATAATAGAGCTTAAAATTTAAATGTGGGAAGGGCACATTGTTCTTCATGCTGATGGGTTGTGGGGCCACCTTCAAAAACTTTCTGTGACCACGATTTCATTTAGAACCCAACCCAAAAGTCTCCAGTTTTATTCCCAATATTTTCCTCCCTTTTGTTCCGATGGAAATCAACATAACCCAAATAGAAAGACTCCAAAATTWATATAAAATAGAATGAGCCTGGGATACTTGGGACCATCTGTCTGAAGCATTCAATGCCCAAAATTYCTGTTTTTTGGGATGGTGAAGGAAGTTGATGGTCTTCCACTTTTTTTTATTAGGTCAACAAGAATTTAGGGAATTTAACTTTTTTAACAGAACATTTTTTAAGGAGGAAACTTACATTAGATCTGGGGCAGGCAAATATTGTTCTGAACTAAAATGCAACCCTTTTAGTACCTTAAAATCCATTAAATATAATATTTCAAATGTCACTCAAAGATAAGAAAAGAGAGCTCTTTGGATATTTTGTCGGATTAACAAGTTTTGCTCATGAAATGAAGATTTTTGAGATGGATCTTAGTTTCTGAAACAAACCAAGAGTTATTTTTAATCAATAATTACTTAGGGCTTCTCATTTTCCCTCAAGAGAGGTGCCAAATACCTTTAGCAGACACTATTCCAACCCCTCGGGTTAAATGAGAAGTTTCTATGTATAACTTAATTGGAATCYTCAATTTAGCAAGTCATTCCAAGCATCTGACTTTGAGAAAACACCTCTCCCCTTCCTTAACGAGCCATTTAAAAAATCCTCATAAAATCACAGTACTTGAGAGGGGGGAAAAGTAAAGAAATTTTTATAGAGCAAATTTAATTTTCTTTTCAACGATTCTGCCTTTGAATCACATTTGGTTGATATTGAGCATCTCTCTGAGCAGARCAGGAGCCTCTTGGAAAGCTTTAATCACTGGAGGAGAATCAGAGCACAAAGCTTTCAGATTAAAATCAAATTGTAGCTCAAGAATGAATGAAAAGAGGGTTTTTAAAAAACTATTTTCAACTAATGCACTACAGCTCCCTTCTGACACGAATGAATATTTATTGTAGGACTTGAGATGATTACATTGCTTCGCATCAAGGCAGCTCCAGTTTTCATCCCTAAAATGACAAATTCTATTGCCCATCCTTTGTCTCAAAATATGTTTGGCTTTGTGAAAGTATCTGASAAAGGTCAGAGTTCTCTGAGGAAATGCAATGTCTTCAACAATTCCCTCAGCAACAATTCCCTCAACAATTCCCTCAAAAACAATTCCAAGATCTGGAGTTTCTCACCTCCCAATAATTCAAGAGGATTTCTGCAAGATCCAAYATTTCTGCAGATCCAAGGAGGACCTTGGGACAACCTGGCTTTGGGCACCAACCAGAGGAGACTCATCTCCATATGCATGGGGAGAACCAGGGAGCCACAAGGAGGAAAATTCCTCCATCCAGAGGAGGAATCTCTTATTTTTAAGTTGTTTTGTATTATTGTGTGGAGAACAAGGATTGGGGTTTTTTTTTGAGAATTACAGTGGAGCACCATCAACAAAACAAGTTTTGAGACTTTGTGCTGAGCCCAAGGAGCAGACACTTACTTTGCTTTTGCTTCTGCATCCTCGTAGGCTTTGTTGGAGACATCATCCAGGCCCCCGATCAGGTGCTTGAAGGAGCTGTGAAGACAAAGGKACACTTTGAGAGGAAAATCCCAGAAACGTGAAGGTTAGACCAGACCTTGGAGATCATCCAGTCCTACCAGTAGCCCAGCACTGCCAGGTCCATGTCTGAGGAGATCTGGAAGCCCAGAGAGCCAACGGAGCTCTTTGGGGCCGGATCTCAATGATGGTGACCAACCAGGCCCAGGGCTGGGAATCTGCTGGGACACAGAAATGCTGGAGATGCAAAAAGCAAMTCCAARAAGATCCAGAATTATTYATCCAGCCCAGTGAAAYGGMTGCTGAAGGTTTTCASCCTCCAGRAGAAATTTCAGAKTAAATGTGCCAAYATGGYTGGTGGTGGCACCTCAACCATCCCATCCCTGCCCTCCAGCCAGGAGCCCTGCAAATCCCTCTGCTTCCATTTCTGGATCCCAGCTTTCTCATCTTTAGCGAAACAGCATCCAAAAACACATCAAGGAGGGTTCAAACTCAAAGAGAGGAAACTTAGGTTGCATATTGGGAAGGAATTGTTCCCTGGGAGGGTGGGCAGGCCCTGGCACAGGGTGCCCAGAGAAGCTGTGGCTGCCCCTGGATCCCTGGCAGTGYCCAAGGCCAGGCTGGACATTGGGGCTGGGAGCAGCCTGGGACAGTGGGAGTTGTCCCTGCCATGGCAGGGGTGGAATGGGATGAGCTATAAGGTCCTTTTCATCCTAAACCATTCTGGGACTCCATGAAAAACTAGAAATTAATAAATTAAATGGGTGAATGACTTCAAACAAAAATATTCCAGGTGAAAAGTTGCTTTCCACTATCCAATTCCAATATTCCCAGTGGGTTTGTCACCACAGGTTTTCTTTTTTTCAAGGAAGACAAATTGGAAAGGCTGAACTGCTGCAAAGCAGAGTCTCTTGACTGATCTCTGCCTTAAGGTCACAGCTTKGTAAGTGAAAATCCTGCAATTCCTCTGGCTCCTCTGTGCTCCTGACACTCTTGAGGAACGAAACACAGAGATGAAGCACAGGAATTGCTATGAGATGACAAAAAGATGAATGGAAAATTTGAAAAAAAAGAAACGAAAAAAGAAAAATCCCTATTCAGGGCCACACGGCCATATTTCTGACTTTGGGAATAAGAAGGGGATATTTAATATCTTTCTCAAGGATTTGTCTTCCAGCCTTACCCATCCTGGGATTCTCTGCTGAGAATTCCTGCCCAGGAAATACCCTCTGCCCACACCAATTCCCCCAGGCTTCCACTCCCCTTAATTCATTCTATTTGAAATCATGCAGTGGAGGAAATAATTTATGCAGCACAGGGAAAGCAAATTCATTCGTTCATTAATGAGGAAGAGAAGGCACAGACCCCTTTGCTCTCACACAAACTCATGTTAGAGATTTTTAACCAGGTAATTATTAATATTTTTAATTTTAGGACATGTGGATCATGGCAGTATCTTTCCAGCCCCAAAATCCTGGCTCAGCAGTGAAAACAGGAACAACTCAGCTCCTTCAACACTTCCACTTTTATYTCCCTGTGCTGGGAATGTGCCATGGGATGAAGCAAAACCTTGCAGAGGACAGTGAAAGCAAAGCAGGATCAGGATGTCAAAGCTCAGTGAACCCCAAACAGGTAATTAGCAATTAATTAACACAGTAACAGCACTCRGGAAGGCCATAAGGCATCACCTAGGGCTTAAATTGAAATTTAGGCTTGGTTTGCTTAGGAAGAGGTGGAAGGGTTAAAAAGCCCTTTTTTGGCAATGCCAATAAATCTTTTTCTAGTGGAACATCAAAGAAGAAAAWGTCACTGAAAGGAGTAACRAAAGTTTCTCTAAACCCCTTAATWTTTATTAAAATTTTTAAGCCAGACTTAGCACTGGGCAAGATATCAAAGTTCTTGAGTCCCTTTTTTATTGCCCATCTCAATGCTGTTGCAATCTCAGCTCAGTCCTAACCTCCCCAAGAATTCAATCAGAAACTGCTGGGGTTTTTTTCTCCTCATGGCCTTTTCTCTTCATTTTTTCTATTCTCTCCTCATAACCAATTTTCTCCATGGATAAACTTCGCTCCGAMTGGGAGAAACAGTAAAGCAGCAAACCCTAAAATCTCCACTGAAAGAGCTCTGCTCATCTTATATAGGGTCAGTCATGCCAGGACAATACATTTTTATTTTATTTTTCTCCAATTTCCATTGCCAAGAGGGCTGATCCAATAACCTCTGTTGGCACCTCACAGGCTCTCTCCCCGATAAAAAACAAACCCAGGTTTTGAAACGCAGACAAAAGACATAAAATGCAAAGTGGAAAAGCAGAAAAYAGCTGAAATATTTAAAATGCTGCTTTAAAAACACATGCATCCTCTTGGTATGTGCAGCTGAAGGAGACAAAAAGCTGGAAAAAGCATTTMGTGTAAATTCCAGGTAGTTTTGTAAGTCTCTGTCAGCAGCAGCTGTGCCTTGAGTTTTCCTGGCTCTGATCCATCAGCTCCTCTCTCCCCCTATTTGCACGAGGCAGTTTTGTCCTCCCAGCACCCACGGTGTTGCTAAATCACTAAGCTCCAGGAAAACATTGTTAGCGCCATAAATAACTTACATGGAGAGAAAAAAATCACCCCTAAATAAAAGATGAACGTGAATCAGCATTAGTGTAAATATTGCTGCAGTTCAGGAGTAGCCAGGAACACCAATTGAGTTTCAAGCGGTATGTGTGGAAAAAACAGGAATGATAAAGTTACACCAGCTTGTCCCTGAAGGTGCCAATGATGATCCAAACGTCAGCAGTGAGTCTGGAGCCTTTCCCTTCTGTTTTCTCTCCATACAAAGGGGCTGCAAGTGAAGTCTGTCTGTGCATCTTTATCCARACTGATCACAGAACAGATGCTCGAGAGGTGTCTGCACCATTTTTATCAGAAAACCTTTCACAGCCAAGTCCCTGCAGGACCAATCCATCACATCCAGCACATATTTGTTACATTTTCCTCTGCTGTACCTCTGGAACAAATCTAATAACCCCTCCAAGGAGACTGGAAATGCATCAGGATGAGCTCTGACAAGGCCAGGCTTGGGACAATTTGGAGGCAACACCATYGAGCATTTCCCACAGTGACTTTTTCTCTCAGAGGATGAATTTCTGCAGTGCCACCACAGGAAAAGCTTCATTAACAACAGCCATGACCTTGTMAGGTCAAGGCAAGTCCTAAAGACAGAAAGTCCATGAATTGTAAGAGAGAAAGCTTGGAAACAGAAATGCAAAAAGAGGGTTTGGGAGATGCTAAATATTGATGTGTTTCTGCAGAGTGGAGGTTTGGTCAGAAGGAAATGGTTGGGTTTGCAAGGAGCTGTCTGGGTCCTCAGGTTCTCCAAATGCCTTCCAATGGTCAGATATCCAGCTGACCATTTTTTCACAATTCCCATGAACACTGGGTGGATTTTGCTGAGGTTTCCAAGCCAATTCCCTAAGCCCCCAGTTGGGTCTGTGCTCCATGGCTGGCAGGAAGAACACATGGATAAATTCACGGAGAAGTCCCCAGCCTGCCCTGTGCTGGGGTCCCTTAGCAAAGCTGTCACACTCGTTTCCTCCCCCCTCACTTCATTTTCCCTACTGGATTATGGTGGCTTCTCTTCCATGATTATTTCAATGATAATGGGAAATTTCTTGGGAATTTTTCTTTCCAATTGCTAAGTTCTTTCAAATACACCTGACCACGTAGGACTACACAAGGTTTTTTTGGTTTTCCTGGCAGTTTTCTTCCTTGGGGGACAAAAATGAATGGTGCTTCTGATGGGAATCACAGAATTCCCAGAAAAGTTTGGTTTGGAAGGGACCTCAAAGCCCCCCCAGTGCCACCCCTGCCATGGGCAGGGACACCTCCCACTGTCCCAGAGTGCTCCAAGTATCCAGCCTTGGGCACTGCCAGGGATCCAGGGGCAGCCACAGCTTCTCTGGGCACCCTGTGCCAGGGCCTGCCCACCCTCCCAGGGGAGAATTCAGAGCACTAAGGACCAAATCCCACTGAAATTCATTATTCCAGTAAAGGAAGTGACTCAAAAACACAACTTCAAGATGGAAAAAATGCCAAAGCTATTCGTAACAAAYATTTTCAGGACAAGGACAAGTGGGAACAAAGTCCATGGGATGCATCAAATGCTTCCTGCAGGTTGTTTTCAATGTTAGAACAGGATTCTGCTCATCCCCTCACCAGAAAAGGATGTTGGAAATGCAGTTTGCAAAGCACATTGACCCAGATCGGCAAGAAATTGCCCTACTGCTTTTGTGGTGCCTCTCGGGTGTTTTTGGGACTGGAAGAGCCTTCTGGATTCACAAGGAAATTAAAAAGCAAGGCAGCACCAACATCACTGATTAATTAAAGACCCATCCTGAACTCCAGTTTGACTTCCCTCATGGCATCTCCAACTCTCACTGCTTCACCCTGTAGCCATTTTATACATATTTTACACATTCCAGAAATACTTTTAGGCAGAACATTCCCACTTTTCATGCTTAAACAATTCTCTTCTTAAACCCAACTTAAGTAATTCCCTCCTCAAACCCAGCCTTCCCAGAGCTCCCAGCTCATGCCTGTGAAGAAAGTTTCCCATATTATTCAAAYTCTGCAGCCACTGAACCAGCCCTAAAACTGCAGGGAATACTGGCAAAGGCAGAGCCCAGGATCATGTCTCCCTGAGGAACAACTTGCTGTGGCACTGAGGTGTGACTCTGTTCATGAGATGGGAGTGGGGCAGCTGGAACAATTTCTGGATGCCTTAGGAAGTCTTTTACAAGGCAGTTGGAAGAGTTTCTCCTGCTGCCAGCTAATGCCAATGGGAGATATTGGGCAGYGAGACTGGAATTCTGCTGGAATTCCATGTGTTAAGGGAAAGGTCTTCTCCCATCACTCATTTTTGAAACTGCAACACCACTTTTGCTGAGATACTTCAGATGGAGACACCCACGGAGCATGAAAATTGCTGCTTCAGTGGCTCCATCTGATTGGGCCAGGAGCTCATCTGGGAAAAGGAAATATTTGGCAGCTTCAGTGACTCATGTTACCCCTCCAGCTGCAGGGAACACCCACTCCCTGCTCCCACTGCCACCTCGGTGTCACTCAACCTTCACAACAACCCACAAGGTGTAATATTCCCTGTATCTGGAGATTAAAAAATGCTTGTTTTTCCTCACCAATTTCCCAGATTCCCATAAGTCTTGGTAGCATTTCTCCACATGAAATTTTGCTCCTGCAGTTGTTATCATTCCTATAAAATAACAGCCTWAGGGAGAGCTGGGACACAAAATTCAGCATTGCTCAGGACACAGGACAACCTGCCCTGAGCTGTAAATAGGGYGTTAAAGAGGGTCACTTTCCTTGCACTATAAATAAGAATTTAATAAATAATGGTACCCTGCTAATTGCAGAGTGTTAATAGAATCTTGGGGGTAGATTAACCATGGCTTCATCAGTTTAAATTTAACTTGTACTTCCTTACTATGTCAAGGGCATTGGATACTGAGGACAAGGAAAGGAACAGTCTGGAAAATGATTGGGAATGAGTGACTCTGCAATTATTATTATTATCTGGGGCTTTTGAACTCTCACAGTGCAAACCAAAAATATTTGTTGCAAACGTGTAAAAAAACCAAAGCGTAAATTACTTGTTTTTATTTCTCTGAATTAATGTTTGCTAGATTATCCAATTATTAAAAATAAAAATATTATTAAAATATTGTCTTGTTAAGGAATCTAATTCCTCTTCCCTCTCTCACTTTCCCATGGAAAGATTTCCTTGGAAGACATGTCCATGCCTTTAGCTAGTCTGTGCAGTGCTTCAGTGCCCTCACAACTGGAAAACCACCCCAGGAGTCATGCTGGGTTTTCATGGCCTTTAATGCCATTTTAATGTACTTGTAAAATTTCATTCCCAGCACCTGCAGAGAGCAGTTGGATTTGCAGCACAGGAGCATCCAGGCATGGGTTTTTTTTCTGAATTAAACCCCTCTCATTCGCTCATGCTTCCGATACAAATTATTATTTCACTCTTCTGACCTCCTGTATCTCCCTCAAGCCATGGAGCTGCCAGCAGGGCCATGTCCTTCTCCCAAGGCCTCTCCATCCCCACAGGGACTGGGATAACACCTCACTCCAACATTTCTCAGGAGCTGATGCCTTTGGTGATGTGAACTCCACCCAGATCCCCTTCCAGGGCAATTCCAGCTCCTCCTTGATTTCCATTTGCTCTTTCTGAGCTGCAAATTGAGTTCTACCCGGTAGATTTAGGGCCACCTTCCCTCCATTCATGAAGGCCACATCTGGGACTTTATCACCCAAAATGGAGTGGCCTCTCTGGAGAAGATGATCCAARGCTCTGGTGAAGCTCTGGAAAAGGTAAAACTTGGGAGTTTCCCGCCAGCCCCAGGCAGAGTGAGGGACTTACTCTCTGTCTATGACCAGACAAGTGACCGCTTCGGCTGCGATGACGTTGGCTGTCCTGACATCCTCCCTGCAAGACAAAGCACAYWRCCRGAGTTATTTCCATGACAAACTT